TATATATATATATATATATATATATATATAGAGAGAGAGAGAGAGAGAGAGAGAGAGAGAGAGAGAGAGAGAGAGAGAGAGAGAGATACCTGCAGTCGTAAGGGTTGCATGGTAGATTGAGGTCGAGTGCCACCCGTTGCGATCTGCTAGTGCAGCAGTTGCCGCGGCTAAGGCGAAAAAAGTCTCGATGATGATGTGAGCATGCTTGTGTTGGCAAGCTGTCCCCGCTGTCGTCACCATTTTGAACACTATTTAAATCAAAGCCCCTACTACAATTCCCAGCATGGCCCTTATCCCTTGATCCCTGAGAAAACCACTTGCCGAACATTGCTGACCCAGTAGAAACCTCGTCACAATCTCGAAATGGCTCTGAGGAGCTACTGCTTGCTGCAGCTGCATCATGACCAGGGCCAGACATCAGGTCTTTCTTCCATAGCGCACAGAATCTGTTCTTTGCTGCATTGTCCGTCCTGCCATCAGATCAACACATCCAACTGGCATCTCAATCTCCCACCAAACTGAGGGCATACTCACATTAGGAATTTTTTCTATACAGTTCTGGACGTGATTATAGTCAGATTCATACAGGTCTGGCCGTAATTGCGACCAGATTCATTTAGGAAGGCGCCCAATGGCCCCTTTGTTTCGGGTTTAAGAAATACGACACAATCCAACAGCCTTAGGGCCTAAACAAGAGCGTGACAGTTCCCTACTAAGGGACCGTCTTCAGCCCAAGAGGACTGAAGTACCACTCTACATCCCATGAAAAGGGCATAGTCTTCCCCCTTTGCATATCCCTACTCTCCCCCTTCTTTCCCTCGAAACCACTTTCATAGTAGAAGGGTAAAAAAAGGCCATATAATATTCTCTTCTATGTTCTAAGCATCGACTATTTGAGTGCCTTCAGCTGGCAGAAACAAGTCACTGAAATGGATATATAACATCCAAAATACTCTTTTGGGGAGAACTACCACCGCACTTTCTTCAAAGACGAGGCCAGGATAGAAGTACAAGATGGAATCCGATGTGAATACCGACAGAGTAGGAGCGAGTCAAATAGCTGAGGAAGTCCAGTGGGTGTGCGCACAGGGGACACTCACTACACACCCACACACACACACACAGAGAGAGAGAGAGAGAGAGAGAGAGAGA